TACAAAATGTTTTATGCAAGATTTATTTCAATATGATGTGCTCAATTTTCATAAATAGATTTTATTGACCGTAAGTTTAATAATTATAGAATTAAGTTTATATGTAATTATTTTTAACCTATATGTAGATTCGGCTGAGGATGACTGTTTAGTCGAAACCGGTACCGAGGAAATATATAAAAAAAAGCAAAAAAGAAGTTATTGTCTTTTATTTCTTAATTATAAAGAATTATAATCGTCAAAATAACTTTCGTTTACTTTTATACTTTGTTGTAAGTATTATCTAACAGTTTATTAAATATTTTTCTTCTAAATTATTGTTTTCTTTAGTCTCTGGTCCCAATTGAACATAACTTGTATGTATTTATATGCAAAATTGGACCCCGACTTACGCGAATTCGACTTACACGGTTATTGCTCGATCCCACCTATCGCGTAAGTCCGGGGTATTACTGTATTGTACTTTATAACCGGACTAGAAATTATATATGGTACGTAATATCCGATCAAAAATCAAGAGTATTTTGGCGGGACCAATGAAATGTATACGTAATAACCGGAAATACGTTATATCCTATGAATGTTATTCGCGGAGTTTACTGTACATTAACTTCTAGTGAATTCGATACGCAATGAATAAGTGTAGAACATATATTCCAAATATACATATAATCTAGAATTATAAATAAATTCTATTTATGATGTTAGCCTAGTTGAAATAAAAAAAAATTGTTCTTTTTAAAAAACAATTTCATTGAAGCTAATCGAAAAGTTACGTTATTTAAAGACATTGGAATCGTCTAGAATCAATTAAAATTGTCAATGAGACTTTTCCTTCGAATCCTCTAAATGGTGTCGTGACTATACCTCAACGGTTATTTGCAAACATTTAATGACCATTTTTTTATCTTTTGATTGCACAATTTGAAAAGTATTGAGTAGTCGAGTCCCATTTCTAGATTTGCCAATTCTACAAATCAAAATTTTTTTATTCTTATCTTATCTTAATTATTCGTATATGGAAACACTGAAATATAAAAATAAAACAAAATAAGATTGGGAAATCCACATTTATCCTTTTGAAATAAATCTGTGGGTATTTCCTAAGACGCATTCCAACTCACGGTTACATTCATAAAAAAAGAACATCCAAAGCTTATTAATTTCTCATCTTACGTGTAACTACCTGCTTTTGAAATCATTTTCTATTTCGTTTCATCGCAAGTTTTTGGTCATTTAGAAGTAGAAACAGGAATATATTTGCTTTCTCTTTCCTACTCGTCGAGTAGAATTATAAGATAGGTGTTTGTATATATGTTTATCCCTTCTACTTTTGCCGAGAGCTAAAAACCCGTCTATACATAATATCGTAAAGAGTAAATCCCGCGATGAGTTCGTTTCTGACTTCTATAAAATCTTGAATATGAAAAATAAAATAAATGAAATTAAAGAAAAATAGTGGTAAATTAGAAAGAATTTGTGCTAAAATACTACATTGACGTCAAATAAAAAGGTAATTGTTTTTTATATTTAAAAAATGAAATTTTTTTTGAAAAAGCATTTCAATAAAGTACTCACATAATAAAATTATTTAAATAAGTTTATGATCGCATTGTGTAAACATAAAATTTTAATTTAAAATTAACACAATAGAAACTCTCAAACGTGACTTTAATATTTCAACAATTTTTTTTTTAATTTAACATGGTATAATAGTTATGTTATCTTTTTAATCTAAATAGTTGTACGTGTACCTATTATTTGAAACGATAATAACTAAAAAAACAAAAATAAACGACTTTAAACATAAATATCAAAAATCGTTTTTCCTACAAAAACTAATTACCATTTATTTTAAATAGAAACGTGATTTTTTTCAATTTTTAAGTAAATTATAAGTATTTCCAATATAATGTTAACAGCTGAAAACCTATAGTTAAATTCAGTTAAACTTTATGAAATATTTAAAGTGTTTGTTAACTATCGTATACAACTATACAGAGTGATTTCAAGGTAACTACAGCTTTCCCGCCATAAACATATATTTAAAAAAATCCAAAGATTATTTTAGATTTGCGTTGTTAAGAAACGATTTATAACTTAAATTAAATCATAAATTAAATAATTTTTCTTAACCTATAATAACATCTCTTTAATTATAACAACATTAAGAAAATAATTATCCTTTGTAATATGAGATTCAATTATATTTACCTAAAGGTATATTATACAACCATCATTAGTATTGTCAATAAACAAGTAAAAACACTAAAAAAATAAGTATAAAAAATTCCATAAAAACTATATAATTACTCCATAAACATAAAAGAATCATGTTAAGTTCACAAAACCGTGAAGTTAACGACACTATTTTTTTTCAATTTATTGTCTCTAGTGGTATAATTCATGTGAAATTACCTTTGTCATCGATGTTCAACTAAATTGTTCTTCACGCATACGAAAATCGAATAAAGTATTGAATGAATTAATATTATAAAGATAATTAATAAAAAGACTGAATTAAACGTGTACAAATAATTTCAGATTACAATGTTCTTTAAATGCGAACTCATCGGGTTTATTATTTTATTATCTTCTATTAGCATCTCACATACATTAGGTAAGCGGTTTTATCTCAATTTTAGTTAACAAAAATGTTCTTTTTATAATAATTCTGAATTAAAGATTCTTATAAAGCCAATAACAGCTCGAATTACAATGCAAACTTCCCGCATCCATGTAAGAGAAAATGTGTTAAAAATTCCAAACCAATGGAATGTAAATTCACCTTTAATGTAGAATGGTACCAAACGATGTCAAAAGCTTGTCATAATTGCCCACATCAAATCGAAGACTGTTTCCTCACCGATTGTATACCAGGCGATGGAAGTTACAGAAGCGTGTTGGTAATCAACAGGATGTTACCAGGGCCAAAAATTGAAGTAGGTTTTTGATTTATTAACTAAAGATAGTTTAAACATGAAGGTTTCTAATTGTAACATTTTCTATACATATTTTCTTGAAGGTTTGTTATGGTGACGAAATCGTTGTAGATGTACAAAATGAATTAATTGATTCAAGCACAACGATACATTGGCATGGACATCCTCAAAGGGGTACTCCATACATGGATGGTGTACCCTACGTTACCCAATGTCCGATCCAACCAGGTACCACATTTCGATATCGCTTTCCAGCCAACATCGTAGGTACACATGTGTGGCATTCACATTTAGGTAACTTCTTAAATTCACCTCAATTATCATTCTCTCTGCTTTTTATCACTGTAAATCGCCAATTTAAATTTATCATTTGTTAAACATGAATAAAAAAGTGTCTTTCTCCTAAACATATCGAATGTTTGAAATGAGAAAAATAAAATAAATTGGATGGATATTTTAATCCATCCAATTAGTCTTGAATCTTTCCACGAGTAATAGTTTTTATGATTTATCACCGAGGTATTAACAGTTTGTCCGAGAACAACGCTCTAATAGCCTCCTGCAGTATAACACAATTACGTGTTGCCGCATCTCAAGTTTTAAATGTAATCATAAGGAGTGAGACTTATTGTAATTTGTCTCAATTTAATAATATTGCTAACAATAACTCCAGATACCTAGATTTAATTTTGTGCAACTCGGGAGGAGTCGATTCGGTGCGCTCCTGTAATGATCCGCTAGTTGACTTGGATGGGCATCACCCTGCTTTAGAATTTTTGTTTAAGTTTGATAAACGTCATGTCTTGCGTGAGAGCCCATCGGTCACCTGGAGGTTTGATCGTGCGGATTTTGACGGTCTCAGGGGTGGGCTGGCAAGTGTTGATTGGCGCAGTTTATTTAGTGGGTTAGATGTTGATCTCTGTGTTGATACTTTTTATTCTGTCTTATATAGGTATATGAATGAATTCGTTCCCCAAAGCTTCTCCCGTAATAATCGTTTTTCTCACTGGTCTTCTACTATTAAATCTGTTAAAGAAAAATTGAAATACCATAAAAAGTGGAAAAGATAGGGTAATCGAAACGACTATCTTTCCTTTAGCTTCCAGCGCAAACGTGCCAAAGCTTTATTTGCTGCTGATTATCGCACTTATCTGAATCGCGTTCAGAGTAACTTGATTGATTGTCCATCTAGTTTGTGGTCTTTTGTTAAAAGTAAAAGACGCGGTGGCGGCGTATTCCGTCTCGAATGGAGCTGAACGGTGAGGTGGCGGATGATGGGAAGCGTATAACTGAACTTTTCTCTTAGTTTTTTAGCTCTGTTTATATCGACGGTTGCCTGAATACCTCTCACAAGCGAAATGTTATTTACCAATCGCAGCCGTGGTTCTCTGAACGTGATGTCTCTCACCTTCTGACACAAGTCGACCATAAATTGGGCCCTGGCCCCGATGGCTTGCCGGGACACTTTATTGCTAAATGTGCAGGGGAGTTAGCAACTCCTCTATTCATTATCTTCAGCCGCTCCATTGAAAATTCAGTCTTTCCCTCTGAATGGAAAAAAGCCTTCATAACTCCAGTCTTTAAATCGGGTAGCAGACATTTTGTGTGCAACTATCGTCCAATTTCCCTATTATCCATTGTTTCGTATGTCTTTGAAAAATTAATTTATGACAACTTATATAGCTATCTTCGACCTGCTATTATCCCTCAACAACACGGTTTTTTGCGTGGGCGATCAGTTGAGACGAATCTGGTTGCGTTTGTTCAATACATTCAGGATTCTATGAATGATAACTCTCAGGTGGATGCTATCTACACCGATCTGACAAAAGCTTTTGACAAGCTTCACCATAACATTCTTATGGATAAGCTGAACAAGTTTAACCTATCTAACGGGCTGTCTCTATGGATTTCGTCCTATATATCTAAGAGATTTCAAGCAGTGAAAGTAAATAATTTCATATCTAGTTTTACTCCTGTTACATCTGGTGTACCTCAAGGTAGCCATCTTGGACCTATTTTATTTCTAGCCTATATAAATGATGTTTCTGAGTGCTTTCATTATTCGAATTTTTCTCTTTTCGCTGATGACTGTAAAATTTTTGCTAGCATCAGGTCTGCTTCTGACCGTATTCGGTTGCAAGATAAAATTGACAGATTTGATTCTTATTGCTCACAAAATTCCTTATTTATAAATCCTGATAAGTGTTGTCAGATCACGTTCAGTAGAAAGAGATATAATGTTAACTTCAAATATATGATATGAGTTAAATTATTATGATTAAAATTATATGAGTTAAAGATCTTGGCGTTGTTCTGGATTCTAGACTACTCTATCGCGATCATATTACTTCTATCGTTTCTGAAGCTACTAAGCGCCTAGGATTTATCATTAGGATTTCTCGTCCATTTACTAACGTCCGCTGCATTACTTCTTTATATATGGCATACGTTGCTAGCGGTTTAAATTTCGCTTCAGTAGTATGGAGTCCTGCCTATAATATTTACATCGACCTTATTGAGGGCCTACAGAGAAGATTTATCCGTTATCTTGCTCACAAATTTTATCTTCCGTACTGCCCTTATTCCTAAAGATGCCAGGTGTTTGGTCTAAGATCTCTCTGTGGCCGTCGACACAGTACGGACCTGTTGTTCCTGTTCAAACTAGTTAATGGAATTCTCGACGCTCCGGTTCTTTTAGAGCAGATTCACTTTAATGTCGTTTAAAAAATCCGTTTTAACTTTAAGTATTTGTCATTAGTTTTTTTCTTTGTAAAATTAATTTACTCAATCGAAACACATTCCTTTACCGTATTTATATTGATTTCTTGCGGGTGGTGGGTCAGAAAAGAGAAGCAACAAANTAGCCTATATAAATGATGTTTCTGAGTGCTTTCATTATTCGAATTTTTCTCTTTTCGCTGATGACTGTAAAATTTTTGCTAGCATCAGGTCTGCTTCTGACCGTATTCGGTTGCAAGATAAAATTGACAGATTTGATTCTTATTGCTCACAAAATTCCTTATTTATAAATCCTGATAAGTGTTGTCAGATCACGTTCAGTAGAAAGAGATATAATGTTAACTTCAAATATATGATATGAGTTAAATTATTATGATTAAAATTATATGAGTTAAAGATCTTGGCGTTGTTCTGGATTCTAGACTACTCTATCGCGATCATATTACTTCTATCGTTTCTGAAGCTACTAAGCGCCTAGGATTTATCATTAGGATTTCTCGTCCATTTACTAACGTCCGCTGCATTACTTCTTTATATATGGCATACGTTGCTAGCGGTTTAAATTTCGCTTCAGTAGTATGGAGTCCTGCCTATAATATTTACATCGACCTTATTGAGGGCCTACAGAGAACATTTATCCGTTATCTTGCTCACAAATTTTATCTTCCGTACTGCCCTTATTCCCAAAGATGCCAGGTGTTTGGTCTAAGATCTCTCTGTGGCCGTCGACACAGTACGGACCTATTGTTCCTGTTCAAACTAGTTAATGGAGTTCTCGACGCTCCGGTTCTTTTAGAGCAGATTCACTTTAATGTTCCTTCTTATGCTACTCGATCACCATTTTTGTTCAGACTACCTGCTTCTGGATCTAGTGCGCATGCCGGTTCACCTCTGTTGAGACTGATGCACACTTGCAATGTTTATTGTTTCAATGTTGATTTCTTTTGTAATTCAATGATGTCGTTTAAAAAATCCGTTTTAACTTTAAGTATTTGTCATTAGTTTTTTCTTTGTAAAATTAATTTACTCGATCGAAACACATTCGTTTACCATATTTATATTGATTTCTTGCGGGTGGTGGGGCAGAAAAGAAAAGCAACATAAATTTGTCCTTTCTTATGGTCCTTATTATTCTGTTTTTCTATCCGCGTAATATCGATGATTATGTGGACCAATCCAGTCTCTGTGTTTATTTTCTTTTCTGCTTCGTGCTTGCTGATTAATTCCATTTTTTTTTAATGGTTCAAGCCTTTGAAGAAATTTTTCCGTTTTTTTTTTGTTCTTTCTTATGTAGTCTGTTTTCTTTTCTTTTATATTATTGTAGCGGACACTTTTTTGGGATTTTTTCCTGTACGTGTCCCGAATATGAATAAATAAATAAACTTCAAACCTCCTATATAATCTAATCATAGATAAAGACGTTGGTCAAGGTTTTCGGCGTTGAGAGTCTGATGTTAGAATCCTTTTCAGCCGAGAGAAATCATTGCCTCCAGGGAACTCTATGCTTTGTATAAATCGGTATACAACGCCTTCCTACGTCTTACGATTGCCAGTCTCTACTTTCCTCTGTCCGTCCAAAGACCCTATTCTATTTTTACCTTCAGGATTTTCTCCGTTCTTCTTTTAAGTGGTCCCTATTTCGCTACTGTATGTTATTATGTTCCTCTCTATCATATTGGATATGTCTTTATCCCACAATATGTCATTCACCGAAGCTATTGCTCTTCTACCTTGTATGTTTTTATCCTTTATACTGCACTCTAGTGTTCCGTCGCTGGTTATTTGTGCTCTCAAATACTTTTACTGACTGGTATATTTGAAGCATTTCACATAACTTAGATCAAGGTACAATATATATGGTGAAATTAATGTTCCCCAATCCATAGCACTGCACTATAAATATTTTATGTTGTAATGTAAACATGATCAATTAATATTTGACAATAGGCTAAAGCTAAGCTATCAAATGATAATTGTTAGTTCACTCAGATCATTTGTTTTTATTGTAAAACGGAATATTAGAAAAAAATTTTCAAGAAAAAACTCATTTTTTCTTTTATATGCTAAATTAATAAAATTCGGCATATCGCTATAATTTAACATAACAAACATTTTTTCTTAATCAACTTTTGTTGTACATTGCTCAGAAAGACTTTACCTGCAACGGTTAACAAACTTCTTGCGTTAACTTTGGTACTTTGAGGATATTTGACGTAATACTTGGTTATATTTCGTTTTATGACATCCTAACTTTAATTGCAAAAGATGGAATTTGAATTCCGTCAAATTATATCTTACGGGGACACAATCCGGGGACACACTGTATACCATATCTTGCTGGTCCAGTCCGATTACTATTTGGTTGTTGGCGCAACATAATGTATAGATTATTGTTTTAGTGCTTGCTCTAGATATATTTTGCGCAAGTTTGTGCATAGGCTCCCCTGCTTGAGTGCTTTAGTAATGTGAAATCCATTCGCACTCTGTGTCCCATTACCTGTTACTTGTTAGTATAAATTCACATTGATGTTCGTTCTTTCGATTGCTTCCCA